TTAACTCAAATGCCCTATCACACCAACCTTCTCCTCTTAACAATTATTAATCTATAACACCTCTTCCAAGAAGCCTTCTTTAAAGTTGCTAGATGAACAGTGTGTTATCAGCCTAAGCCGTCTTGAAATTATCTTTCTCACAAAATAGTAATGGTATGGTTCATTGTCTCCACCAGTCTTTGCTTCTTGGGAAGGCAGAGTTTCTTCCTATTTGCTTTTCTGTCTTCAGTGCATGACAGGTATATAAGTGAACTGAATATTTATATTAGAGGAGGAGCTTTTTTAAGAAAGAGGATTACATAATTATGCCGCCCAGGTTCAAGTACTGTTTCTGTCCTCACTGGAGGGCTTTCTTGGTGAGGTAATATAGCAACCTCTCTAACCTCAATTTTGTACATAATACAAGGCTTCATAAACTTTAAGATATTATGGTGATGGACACTACTCGAAACTATATACATATTCCTTTATGGATATATTTATTCTATTAATAATGCTATGGCAATATATAAATTCTTTCCAAGTCTATAATGGTCACCTGATTCTGGCAGGCTCAGGCATTGGTCTCTGTTATGACACATCCCCAACCTGTGTGTACTGGGAGGTTTCTGGCAGGAAATACCTAGCATGGATTTTAATTGGGACTAAATTTTCTTTTTTCTGAATTATTAACCAGATTACTTGCAGCGTGTGTGGCATGACTAAAAATACCTGTGCATGTCAGCTCATAACTACTTTGGCCCCTGAAATAAACCTTTCAGGTCCAAATTATTATCGCTGTTGATTTTTCTTGTTGTTATTCTTAATACACAATTACAGCATTGATTAGAGTAAAATCTAGAGTTCAAGTCCCAAACAAATCAATGCTAGAAGTCACCCTCACGACCTGCTGCTGCATCTGTGGAATTCAGACCATGGGGAGAAGCACATACTTCTGAGTATTCATGTTCAGCTTGTCATGGACCAGAGCATGTTGGGAGAAAACAAGTTATTTGTGGACTGGAGACCAGAGACTCCCAGCAGCCACAGATTGACCCTCCTATTTAACCAGGAGGAGGGAAACTGACATTGTATATTCATCCCCCACCCCGGAACCTGTCACTAATGACAGAGGCAGAACTGATAGTGCCAGTGCATGTCATGAAAAAAGAGAATACATTGTCATAATAGCACTTGAGAGGAGTTTAGGCTGAGGTGCTGTGAGTTGAGAAAGCATCTTATTTGTGAAAAATGGTTCAGTACTTCTGCCCTCATCAGCATCACCTCCATCCCTTGTTCACCCTGTATTACCAGCATCACTCCCAACCCTGCCCATCCTGCCCTCATCAGCATCACCTCCATCCCTTGTTTACCCTGTATTACCAGCATCACTCCCAACCCTGCCCATCCTGCCCTCATCAACATCACTCCTATCCTCCTCCCAACTTCTGCTCACCAACATCAGCTGCATCTCTTTTCCATTCTGCCCTCATCAGCATCATCTCTATCTTCTTACCATCTGCCCTTTGAAGAATCACCTGTATCTTCTCATCATCCTGCCTTTCCCAACATCACCTCCATCTTGCTTTCCCCAGGATCACCTCCATCCTGTCTTTCTCCAAATCTCCTATAACCTGCTCTCACCAGCATCACCTCCATCCTCACCAACATCATCTCCATTTTTACTAGCATCACCTCTATCCTCACCAGTATCATTTTGATCCTACCATTATCTTGCCTTTGTAAGAATGACTTCCATCCTCCATCTAGCTGTTCCCCAGCAACTTAGTCTCCATCCTGTATCCATCCTATACTTACCAACATTACCTTTGCCCTCCTTCTATCCTGTCCTCACCAGCATAACCTTCATGCCTATCCATCCTGTCCTCAGTAGCATCACCTCTGACCTTACCATTCTCACCTCTACCCTTCCTCCATCCTGACCTTACAGCATTACATTCATCCTACCACTGTCATATTACCCTCGTAGTGTGGCTCAAATAACTATATATAGTACAGTTTGGTGAGAGCTTGTATGTTTTGGCTGCTTTTCATGTAACTTAGTTCTGAATAATACACTCCACCGTTTTAAAAGTAAGGAATTATCATTATTGCCATTTTTCAGATAAGAAAACTGAAGGTCAAACAAGTTCAGGGTTTTATTTACAATAGCGTGGTAACAAGTTGGATAATCTGGAATTGAATCCCAGGTCTATCTGCCTCTAGAACATGCTGTCCTGTGTACCCTAATATTCCTTTAGCATCACTTCCCACCTCATGTCTAGGATAAATCATGACATGGCAGGATCATGTTGGAAATGCCTTTTTTTTTTTTTTTTTGGTTTTTTTGAGACAGGGTTTCCTTGTAGCCCCAACGGTCCTGGAACTCACTATGTAGACCAGGCTGGCCTCGAACTCACAAAGATGTACCTCCCAAGTGCTGGGATTAAAGGTATGCGCCACCATGCCCAGCTGGAAATGCCTTTAAAGTAACTAAAAACTAAAAAATCAAAGTACAAAGTTCAGGAATTCTTTAATAGAGAACTTTGGATTGTGTTGTTTCATTTTTGAAGGCTGCCATGGTCTATAATGAAAGATCTTAAGGGGAATGTGTCTTATCTAAAGCAAGACCCCACTTTTCTAGTTGTGCTGCAGTTTAGGGAAAGGAGAACATGTGCTTCTTCTGAGTTGGTTCCCTATTGAAAGCTGTTCTCTTCCATGTCTCCAATAGTGGTTGCTTGCAGAGCCCCCCTGTGTACTCAATAGGATGGAGCCCTTTTCAGGTGTGGAGTCCCTCAGTGACTGAGCTGAGTCCGGGCAGAGAGGGACAAGCAGGACCATGTCCCAGCCATCCAGGTAGTTCAGATACTCCTGTGTTTGCAACAATCTATGTTGCCCCTTGCAGCTGGCTCCACTAAGGCTGCTGGCCAGCCCCTTATGTTAATCACTTCCTTGCATTCTCATTCTGAGCCAGAATGGAACCAGAGACCTAGAGGTGAAAGGTTCCCTAGGCTTATTATAAATTCATGAGCCAAACCATACTGGATGGTGTTCCCAGGAATTATTTTCCCACTTAATCTATTTTAGCCAGGCTTTTTCTCTGGGATCTGCAGTGAACATCATTTCTTTAAAAATAATTTTGTTTTTGAGATGGAAGAAACACGTTTTGCTACGCTGAAGGTAAGCAAAAATGTATTTGACACCTCAGGTAATAAGGAATTTTTTTTGCCTACCTGGTTCTGAATTCTTTCAATTGAAAATTGTATTTTTACCTTATTTTACTCCCAAGAGAGCTTTTCATCATTTAAATCTCCCATTCAACTTTGTATGTGGAGCGCTTGGGTGCAGGTCCTGTGGAGGCCAGAAGGCAGTGTTGGCACCCCTGCAGCAGGAGTAACAGGCCCTCCTGTTTGCCTCCTGATGTGGGTACTGGGAGCTGAACCTTGAGACCTCTCGAAGAGCAGCAAGTGCTTTTCACTTCTAGCTTTCCAGCCCCAGGTTTCATTTTGCTTTAAAAAAAATCTACTTATTGAAGAACACTTTCATCAGAATTCAGTACAATGCATTTTTAAAGAGGCTTATAAAAAAGAAAGAAGAAAGAAAAGGAATAAAGGAATAAAAGTTTGTAAAATCTGCAAACAATCCAAAAAAAAAAAAAAAAAAAGAATGTGAGAGGGATGAAGTGGTGTAAAAGGCAAGTCAAGAGAAGTGGAGGAAAGAAGCAGGATGGAGAATTTCTATTGCTTAAAGCAGCGCTTGATAAGTAAATAGCTGTGGGATGAAAGCTAAAACCTAAATGATGCTTAAATGTAAAAGAGCTTGTTAACCTGTTCGTGGTGGTTCTCCAGGTCCACTTTCTTAACACAAGAGTTTGGGAAGTGTCCATATCCTTCGCATTCAGTGCATTTGCAAAGCCGGTTTCTGTGGACCCTTATCTTTTTTTTTTTTTTTTCTGTTTTTGCAGGAAATTTCAATGAAA